CAGAGCCGCTCCGCACCCCCGCCGCCTGCCGCGAGCCCCGAACCCCGAGCTCGAGGGCGACAGGGCAGCTCCGGTGAGTGCTAGACCGCGTGTGGGGGTGGCTGCCGGGAGGGGGGACCCCACCCAGCCAGGAGCCCGGAATTGGACCAGGGGAATAGATGGAGGTGGGGAGGTCCGAGGGAGGGGACAGCTGCCGAGCTGGAGCGGCCAGGTGACCCCAGCTCTTGCAGGATCCCCGGTCGGTCGGGTGCTGCGGGGAGAGGACTGGGCGGCTGATTTGGGGGCCCCGCCGCCCCTGGGACTTCTCCAGGGAAAGGGACGGAAATGCAGGTGGACGTCTGCGGGACGCCCTGTGGGGACTGCAGCGCTTCCTTCCCCTGTGCGCGCGCTTGTGTGTGTGTGTGTGTGTGTGTGTGTGTGTGTGTGTAGAGACAGAGACAGGACAGTGTTAGAAACAGACATGGGTGACGAAGGACTTGGGGAGAGCCAGCGGGGACACACACCCTTGCCCCAAGTGTTTAAATGAAGTCTAGAGGGGCAGACCCCCAAACTGACCCCCTGGACTTGTCTCAAACGCCTGCCCAGGGAAGCCATTCCCCTCTAGAGAGAAGCAGCTGGGGTGGGGGGTTGAACCACGGCCCTGTGGTTAGCAACCTTTCACTGACCTGACAGCACCTCAAACAGCGTAATGACCTCCCCCCCCCAAAAAACCCCACCCACAACCATGAAGCTGAAGAGTGGATCTGGACTCCCAGTGGCCCTGTAGGACACGCTGGAGCTGCCCCTGTGGATGTCTAAGGTTGTAAATCTCTTTCCCTTGGAGCTTCCAATTGCTGACCCTCTCTGCCACCTGAGCTCCGTCCACAAGCCCACTTTCCTCACGCTGAGCTCCTTGCTCTGTAAGGAAAACCAAGTCCCGTCTAGCTGGGGAACCAGGCTGGGCCACATGGTCCGACAGGAGCGCCTTCGGGTGGACAGGAGTCCAGTGCTGAGCAGCTCCCTCTGGAAAACGTGGCTTCCTGTAGGGCCAGCAGACCTCTCTGGAGTCTCAGGCTCCACACAGGCTGGCAGCCCTTCCTCCCTGGGACACAGGCTTCTGTCCCTGGAATGCTACCCTCACCAGCTCCTCCATATGCCTGTACCCCAATAGCCAGCAGCCAAACTGGCAGCCCTGCCACCCCAGCTTGGCGCTGCCTGCTGCCTACATTCTGTCCCACACTCCCTTCAACTCCACTCACCCACACACTAGCCAGCCTTCCAACCCTGACCCTGGAAGGAGGGCAGCCCTCCCATGCCCCACACAGGGACCCTGAGTTTGTCTTCCTGCCCCTCACAGTGCCCTTCCCACCCCCTTCCCTTGGGACAGCACTGAGCTCACTGCCCCACCAGGCAACGAGTCCCCTGAAGGTTGCTGCCTCACCTTTCCCTCTTGTCTCCTTGTCGGCAGGGATGCAGGCAGCCCAGGATCCAGGCATGGGCGTCTTTGGGGTGTAGCAAGCAGGGCAGAGGGATGGATGTCCACCACCATCGGGTTGATGATCTCATGACTTGCTTCTTAGGGTTTCTGAGGCTGTAAATCTTTACCAGAACCGACAGCTTCGTCCATCTCCCAAGGGGCAGCTGGTGGGTTGGAACTGCCCCGTCTTGTGGTTAGGAACCTGGTGCTAAGTGCCCTGCACCACCAGGGCTCCTTCTGAAGAGCAAGGGCCTGCTTTTCTACCCCTTTCACCCTCCGCATGCTGGAGGCTGCTTGCATCCTAATTGCAGGCTGAGATGGGGAGGAGGAGAGAGAGAGTGCATTTCCAAATGTCATGTTAACTCTTTGGCTCTGACCCACCGATGTGACAGCCAGAAGACTCTCAAAACGGGGCCTTTGCAGTGTCTAAAAACGCATGGGCGGTCAGCTTCTGGCCACAGAGGCAGGCGAGCTGAGCCGGCAAAGAGATGAGCAAAGCTCCCACGCTGGTGTTCCTAAAAGCAGCCTCCTATTGTTGGTGGAACCAGCTGAGGCCAGAACTGGTCCCCAGGGAGCCTGTGGACAAATGCCAGCTGTGTTCTGCAGCCTGGCGCGGAGAGAGAGCAAGCGGCAAAGGGGAGCCAACACCAGCACCTTCTCTTGTAGGGCCTTTCTAGATCAAGTTTGGGGCCCTCCTTCAACCCAGCCCAGCCCTGCCCCTCCAGCTACCCCCAGGGAGCCAGCCACACTGAGATTGGTGTGTAATTGCCTTAAATCAGCTTTCCCTGGGGCCCGTGTGAGCCGGAATCTAACCGCTAACACCTGATGCCAAGTGAGCGGCAAGGTGCCTTCGCCCTTGAAACACGTTCTGCAGATTAATTGGAGCGGGACCTAGGCTGGAGCCCACAAGCCCTCATTTGGATCAGTGGAGATTGGGGTTTAAATTCACAAATCTAGATCCAGCCCAGCCGCCCTTCGGATCTTTGGCCTGCCTTCTTGTCAAGCCCGATGTGAGACCCCACCCCACGCCCGGGGCCTCAGGGGATGTCTCCTGTGTCAGCTTCTACTGAACAGACACCCCATGTCAACTGGTGGACCAAACAAGAAGCTCACTGCCACTGAGTCAATCCGACTCACGGGAACCTGATAGGACAGGGTAGAACTGCCCCTGTGTGTTACTGAAGCCTTAAATCTTTCTAGGGAGTAGAAAGCCTCATCTTTCTCCTGAAGGTCGGCTGGTGGAGTTGAACTGCTCACTTTGCAACTAGCCGCCCAACGCATAACCCACGCCACCACCAGGGCTCCCTAATGCACCCACACATATCTGCCACCGTTTCCCTGTGTAACCCTCTGGGTCTCTATAAGCTACACACGAGTCCATTCCTTAAAATTCCAAAACCCATTCCTGACTCACAGAGACTCTAGGGCAGTGGTTCTCAACCTTCCTAAGGCCGCGACCCTTTCAGACAGGTCCTCATGTGGTGGGGACCCCCCAACCTTAAAATGATTTTCCTTGCTACTTCATCGCTATCATGTTGCTACTGTGATGAATCAGGTGACCCCTGTGAAAGGGTCGTTCGACCCCCAGAGGGGTCTCGACCCACAGGTTGAGAACCGGTGCCCCAGAGGACAGGGTCGAATTGCCCCTGTGGTTTTCTGAGACCAGCTCTTTAGGGAAGTGGAAAGCCTTGGCTTTCTCCCGTGGAGCGGCCGGTGGTTTCAAACTGCCAGCCTTGCGGGCAGCAACCTGACAAGCTCAAAGGCAGGTGTACCTGGTAGGATTCCGTTAGGCACTTTAGGTCAGTGTTTGAATGCCATCACCCCGGGAGTGACCCAGGAGCCACTCCTGAGCTTGGGAGCACCGCTGGGTGCTCTGAGGGTGTCTAGATTTGCAACCGGACCCTGCTTCCCTCTGAACAGCCCTCATGTTCTGGTTTAAGGGCATCTTGGAAACCAGAACCTTCCATCCTGACACTCCTACCCTTAGACTCCACAGCCCTTGGCAAGAGAGAAGGCTGTGTACAGCGCCCCTCTCCGGGCTGTGCCAGGTTACAGAGGCCATAGGATGCCCACGCCTGTCTCTCTGCTGTCCCAAGCCTGGCTCCCACCATGAGCGCCGAGCTCAACGTGCCCGTGGGCCCCTCCACACCTGCCTGCTCCGAGCCGGGCAACAAGGGCATGGATTACCGCGACTGGGTCCGCCGCAGCTACCTGGAACTGGTCACCTCCAACCACCACTCCGTGCAGGCCCTCTCCTGGAGGAAGCTCTACCTGAGCAGGGCCAAGCTGAAGGCCTCCAGTCGGACCTCCGCCCTGCTCTCGGGCTTCGCCATGGTGAGTGAGTGCAGCCATGCGCATGCTGAGAAACCCCGGGGCCCGTGCTCCATTCCCCACGCCCCAGAGTCCTCAGAAAGTCTGTCTTTCTGTCAGGCTCCACACGTGTTTGTCTTCCAGATCAGCACGCACCAGCTGTAGCAGTCACCGTAGCAAACTCAGAGTGACCCTGTAAGACCAAGATGAGCTTCCCCCGAAGGGTTTGAAAGCTGTCGTCCTTTTTAAAAAATCATTTTATTGGGGGCTCATACAGCTCTTATCACAATCCATCCATCCATCCGTTGTGTCAAGCACACGTGCATAGTTGTTGCCATCATCATTCTCAAAACACTTGCTTTCTCCTTGAGCCCTTGGTTCAGCTGAAAGCTGGCGTCTTTACGAGGGTGGATTGCTGCCTCTTTCTCCCTCAGACATCTGGGTTGGAAACACCTGCTCTTCAGTTCACGTGAGGCCAAAGCCCTAGGCTTCCACGCGTCCTTGGCCCAATGCCCCTGTTCAGAAAAAAGTCATGACTTCACGCTCTCCTGGCAATTAAGAATTGTTTACGCTTATCGCCCAACATCCAGGTTAAAAAAGTGCAGGTGTCGGCTTTTGCAGCCCCCTGGGTCACTCTGGGAGACACCCAGCCAAGCACATGAGGGCTCCAGCCAACCGGGGGTGCAGTGGTTATGCAGTTAGCTGCAATCTGCAAGGCCCGCAGTTTGAAACCACCAGCTGCTCCTTGGGAGGACGACGGAGTATCTGAGTTTTAACGAACCTCCCCTGAGTCCGTTCTGACTCAGAGCCGCCCTCTATTGAGTTTGGGAGGTTGTCGATCTCGAGGGGAGCAGACGGCCTCCTCGTTCCCTCGAGAAGCAGCTGGTGGGTTTGAATCATCGACCTTGTGGTGAGCAGCCCAAGGCTTGGCCAACAAGTGTCACCAGGGCTCCTTTAAGCACCTGCCAAAGAAAATCAAAATAACTCATTGCCATCAACTTGATTGGGGCTCACCACAGTCCCTAGGACAGAGAAGTGCCCCTGTGGGCATCTGAGGTTTTAAGACTGCTGGGCACCTTTAAACCACTTCTAAACTCAAAAAAATTCCAACTCGCTGCCATCTAGTTCACCCATGCCAACTCATAGCAAACCAGAAGGATGGGGCAGAACTGCCTCTGCAGGTTTCCGAGGCTACAACTCTACAGGAGTAGACAGCCTCACCTGTCTCTCGGAGTGGCTGGTGGTTTTGAACTGCTGTCAGCAGTTGTCTCTCTCAAAGACCTTGTCTTCCAAATACTAGCGTTTGCAGCCTAGGACGTGGTCTACGAATGAGCATGTGTGGGCTGGATGTAGGGAAGGGAGTCGTAGGGTGCCCTTGGTACCCCAACTCCTCCTAACCTCAGGTCCCCCAGAGCTGCCTGTCCTTGGCTCAGCAGTGTCCCACTTTCTGTTAAGAGTTCATCTCCTCCCCAGGGTGGCATACCTCCTCTGTCCCCATAGGCACGTCCATGGCATTTGGGGGGCCTTCCCCAGGTGACACAGTGCCCTCCCACAAAGACCCTGCCCACCTCACGTACACTGCAGGGTCGCCCAAACACCAGGCCTGGGTGAGTTGTCGGGGCCACACAGTGGGCCTATGCTGCTGGGTGAGTGGACAGGCCGCCAGAACTGTAAAAGCAGCCTGGTCAGTGTGGCAGCAGGGCATCTCAGCTCTGAGAGCCGCACTCCAATGGGGCAGGGGGGCCAAGATGTTAAAATGGAAGCAGGCCCCTTGCGGGCCTTGAGTTGCCGCAGTGCGTGGGTGGTACCCACAGCGAAGGTGCTCATCCGCCCACCGAAAGGCTGGAAGTTGGAGTCCAGCCCTGGGGAGGCTCAGAAGAAAGGCCCGTTGATCTCTTTCCAAACAAAATCAGCCATTGAAGCACAGTTCTTCTCTGAAGTACCAAGAGTCGCTACGACATTCCACTAGTTGGCATGCCGGGGCTGTTTCTGTGCCCAGCACCCAGCAGCGCATGTCTAATGGGAAGCTCATTTCTTCCGGCGAATCCGCCCTTCTCCTAACCCGGAGAGCCGGTGAGCAGAGGCTGCCATGCAGACATTACCCTGGAGAAGAGCTCTTTGCCTGCCCTTTTCTCTAGAGAGGTGGACCTCCTCTGCTTGCCTGGGAGCGCCTTGCTGCCTCCTCCTCCTCCTCTTCCTCCTCCTCCTCCTTCTCCTCTTGCTCCTCCTGCTGCTTACTCTTCTCTAGGAACCTCCTCCCACAGGGTCTGCGGCACTCTTTAATAATCAGAGTTAGACCTTGGCAGCCACAAGTTTATCCCAGGCCACAGGGTACACAGGGAGCCGGCCCCTCAGGCCTGGCTTTTGCCTCCAGCCAGTCATGAGGGAGGCTGTGCAGCTTGTGGTCTCCTAGGAACCGTCTACCCATCGTCTTTCTCCTCCACCATGTTCCCTTTCCCCCAAGACAGGAGATGAAGCCTGCCACGCTCTGGCTCAGAGCGGCTGGGGAAAGTTGGGAAGCCTGCATTCTTGTCGATTTTAAAAAACAAGGATGGATTGTTCCGATCCAGAGGGTAAACACTCGAAGAAAACCCATCCCCCACTCTCATCCAGTCGATCCCCCCTCACGGGGACCGAGGCTTCGTAAGTCTCTGTGGGGGGCCTCACTTTTCTCCCGAGGTGGGCTTGAACCCCCAATGCTGACCCGATAGGGCTGCCCGGCACCCATGCAGAGGCTAGAAAAGCCTTCCTCCTCTCTCAGCTTCCTTAGCTGGGCTGGTTCTCCCCTTAGGGGCCTGGGAGAAGGCCCTTGGAATGTCCTTGGGGAGTGAGCCCCAGGGTCCTTGCTGGGACCTGGCACCTGGTTGGGCCCTGTAGCAGCAAAGGCTGCATGGCAGACAGGGCGGGGCCCATGAGATCAGCAGGCTTCAGGTGCCCCCCACCCTGTGGGCTTTTTAGTCTCCATCTAAAGATACATGTATTTTTATTTCATTTTAAAGAAAGTATAACCCATGCCTATTGTCTTACAAAATGCAGCCCTGCTAAAAGGTTTGTAACAAAACCAAGCAGCCTCCAGCCCAGCCCACCCCCACTCCCTGCCACGAGGAGCTTCCGTGGCTGCTTCTGGCAGCTGCTCCCTGCCACTCAGTGCCGGCCGCAGACTGTGGTGGACACACGGCCAGGCCTGGCCGGGCCAGTGGTCATGGTCACTGACTCAGCCCTTTCTCCAGTCCCGCCCCCTTCCCACAGCTTTCTCCGCTCTATGAGCCAGCACCCATAGAGCCAGCACCCGCTCCTGTCACACTCCCTGCTCTGGGGAGGAGGGCTCTGGGAGAGTGCCACATGGTGGTGTGAGGCTGCTCTGCCCTGCCGGGGCCTGTGCTGTCCCCTCCCGGGTCTAGTTCCAAGTCTGGGGCCTTTAGCACCGCCTGCTTTTCTCTCTGAGAGGTCTGCGTTTACTCCGTACCCAAACAGCTGCTGACCGCAGTTTAAAAGGAAGAATCACAAAAGCACAAGGCCGTGGCTTTTCTCAGACCTGTCGGCTCGCTGAGGAAAGCGAGAGAAGGGGGAACGGGCTCTGGTGCTTAAAGACCCAACTCGTAACCCCCGAGGCCACGGGCTTCCTGGGATCTCTTTCAGACTCACTGCCACCTGGTCGATCCTGATTCAGCAGCTCTGTGCAACGGGTAGAACCCACCCCTGTGGGTTTCCCAGGCTGTGACTCTTGATGGGTGTAGAAAGCCTCATCTTTCTCCCGTGGAGCGGCAGGTGGTTTTGAACTGCTGCCCAGGTGGTGAGCAGCCACGATGCCACCAGGGCTCCTGGAGATGTTTTTAGTTAACCCTTAAAAAGGCAAATGAGAGATGTGTAAACAGCGGGCAGTGCCCCCCCCTGGCTGCAAAGCCCCATCCTGTGTCTTGGCAGGTGACACCCCCCGCCCCCCCCCATCCGACCCCTACAGCACCTATTAGTGTTTTTATTTTATTGGGGGCTCTTACAGTTCTTATAACATTCCATACATCTATTGCATCAAGCACCATTTGTACATATGTTGCCATCATCATTTTCAAAACACTTTCTTTCTACTTGAGCCCTTGGTATCAGCTCTTTTTCCCCCTCTCCCCCCCTCCCTCCCTTGTGACCCCTTGATAAATTATACATTATTATTTTCACAAGTGTTTTTACTTTTCTTTTTTAATGTCCTAACATAGCCACAACACACATTTTGCTATTTGAATCAGTATTCAGCGGACAGTTCTGGGGTTAGAATTCCATGCTTCCCATTTCCCAAATGGCTTACCCACCCCAACATATCCTCAGCCCCCGTTATGCCATCACGCCCCTCCCCGAGCCCCCAGGCAGCCACTCATCCACCTTCTGCCTCTGCGCCTCTCTGGATTCTGGCTGTGTCTGCTGGTGGGGGGGTCATTTGTGTCTCCCAAGTGTCCTGCGCCCCTGGGCGGGTCTGTGCTGACGGTGCCCCCCAACCCCCTTGCAGGTGGCCATGGTGGAGGTGCAGCTGGAGACGCAGTACCAGTATCCGCGGCCGCTGCTCATCGCCTTCAGCGCCTGCACCACGGTGCTGGTGGCCGTGCACCTGTTTGCCCTGCTCATCAGCACCTGCATCCTGCCCAACGTGGAAGCCGTGAGCAACATCCACAACCTCAACTCCATCAGCGAGTCCCCGCATGAGCGCATGCACCCCTACATCGAGCTGGCCTGGGGCTTCTCCACCGTGCTGGGCATCCTGCTCTTCCTGGCCGAGGTGGTGCTGCTCTGCTGGATCAAGTTCCTGCCGGTGGACTCGCGGCCCCAGCTGGGGCCCCCGCCCGGCCCTGGCGGCCACACGGGCTGGCAGGCCGCCCTGGTGTCCACCATCATCATGGTGCCCGTGGGCCTCATCTTCGTGGTTTTCACCATCCACTTCTACCGCTCGCTGGTGCGGCACAAAACGGAGCGCCACAACCGCGAGATCGAGGAGCTGCACAAGCTCAAGGTGCAGCTGGACGGGCACGAGCGCGGCCTGCAGGTGGTGTGAGGCCGCCAGGGGGCGCCGGACTGCGGGTGCCGAGGCCGCCAGGGGGCGCCGGGCCTCCCCCTCGGGCCGGACTGTGGGTGGGGAGGCCGCCAGGGGGCGCACATCCAAGCAGAACTGGCCTTCGTGGGGGCGGGGCTTCCAAATGCCCAGCATCCAAGAGGCTGTTAGACACTGCCAAGATAGTTCAAGACCAAAGTTTTGCTCCTGTCGTAATCCTTAGCCCTCTCCGGACAGCTCCCCCTCCGGCAATGGAAGCTCTTGGTGAAAGGAAACAATGGTGGGTGGCCTTCTCTTAACGTATTTCCTGGGTCCCATTTGCCCCAGGGCCAGAGTAGGCAGGTGGGGGTGTGGGGGAGGGGTGTGTGTGAGCTGTGGGAATGGGTCCCTTGGCAGGGTTGGGGTCCACCCAGGAAGGGCTCCAAGCATCGGCCAGTGGCCAAGGGGAGTCTTGCCTCAGAGACCCTGAGGTCCCAGGGGCAGGGAGCTTGATGGGGCCTCACGTCTGGTGGTTCCCCACTATTGTGCTAGACAGACTAGGGGAGGGGGCGCAGCATCCAGCTTGGCTTCATGCCCACCCTCAGCAGCCAGTCTGGCGTAGGGGTAGCGCAGCAGGGAGCTAGCCCAGGCCAGGTACATGGCCTCATTGTCCTGACGCCCCACCCTTCTGCAGGGAAGGGGGTGCCCCACAGGGTGCCTACCTCCCCTCCCGGGCCTCTAGGCCTGTCCAGTTTACACAGCTCTCCCCAGGGGCGTCTGGTGCCCCTAGGCCTATCCCTTCAGGAAAGCAGCTTATGCGGAGGCACAGGCTCTGTGTGGCCTCTGAAAGCCAGAGTGACGTTTCCCAAGCACCAGCTGTAAGGGACACCTTTTCTGGTTCTCAGTGGGTGCTGGACAGCTCCAGGGCCAGCCATCCAGAAGCCGCCTCACAGCCTAACATCCCTCCTGCAGGGCTCAGGCTGGCCTGGCTGGATCAGGGGACACTCTTGTGAGACCACAAACCCCACCTGTCCCTGAGACTTGGGGGTGGGCATTGTTGTGCTGACTGGGGCCCGGGGAAGAGTCCGGTGGCTTCGGCAGGACGCAGACCCATCCTCTGAAGACATCCACCTTCCGGGGACCTGCTAGCCCTCTCCTGCATGTATCCCCTTCCGGGAGCTTTGGGCAAAGGGCTATCAAGTTTTCATTTGTATTTGCTTTGCGAAAAAACTCCAGTGCCACTCCAAACAGGGGGCCTGGCAGGCCCTTTAGGGCCTGATAATGTTGCTCCCCTTCTGTGGCCTGAACTCTGCCGCTACTTGCATCCCTGGGCCACCTGCCCCCATCCCTCCCACCCCCGATAAATCTCTGCTGGGCCCTGCTACCCACATCCCTGGGCCACCTGACATACACACACTCTCTCCCCCCAGCTTTGCCTGGGCCCAGCCATTACACCTGAACCACACGGGGAGCTTCTGGCCTGGGGGCGTGTCAGGGTTCGACCAGGGGACCTGGTTGGTGGTACAACAGGTAGGGGAGACACAACAGCTGTCCTGTCACTCTGATGTGCACACTCCTTCCTGCTATTGCCTGGTCCTTCATCCAGGGGCCCAGGGCAGACTGTGGGGACAGCTAGCCAGCAGCGGGACAGGTAACAGAGTGATGGAAGAAAACCAGTGGCAGATTAGACCTTTGGCATCTAGAGGGTTAACCTGGCTCGGATGGGGGTCTGAAGGCAGTGGCCTTGTTAAGACCCATCCTGGTGCTTGTGAAGCCCACTACCAGTGGCACGCTATGCAGAGCCCCTTGACCACAGTTTTAAATGGCCAGTGTGTCTGCTGCTGGAACATCTTCTAGAAAGGCCCATCTGCTGAGGCGGAAGCCCGCCAGCCTGACCCCCTGGGAGTGATTTCCTGGCCCAGCCACCTCACTGTTTATGCATGGGCACCACATGGGTCGCCAAACCATTGTCCTGAATAAATAGCAGCCCTGAAAGGGTTAATGCCTCCCCCCTCTCTGTGGGTGGTGGTGGCCTTCTCTGGGGTAGAGAGGCAGGGTGCTCAGACTGATGCACCTCGAGACCCCCTGCCACGGGGGACAAAAGGGTCCTGCTCAGTGGAGTGCACCTCTCACTGCCCCTTTCCTCCCTGGGTGAGTGCGCGCCCTTCCCAGAAACTCAGGAAGGGGCAGCAGTGTGTGGCTGAGGCCCCTCCCCAAACTCAAATGGATGGGGCTGGAGGGATGGGGAGTCCAAAGGCTGCCCGGAGAGCCACAAAGCCCCAGGTCCTGTGCTGCCACCTCTAACCTCAGGTACCTGTGCAACCAGGGCCACCAGGCAGCAGGCACAGAGGCCACCTGCTCAGGAAGGCGGGCCATCTTTGTCACTCCAGGTATGTGGCCACTCTGCCTCCCCCAGTGCTCATGCCAGCAAGCCTACACCCCAAAGTGGGGGCAGTTTTCTTAAAGCAAGAAAGTCCCATCACCCCCCACCGCAAGGCCAGTGCCTCTGGGTCTTGGAGTGTCCCCGGGGCCCTGTTGAGAGCTCTCGCACCTCAATGTGGAAGCCTTGGGTTACAGCCGTCCCTCGGGGGGCCCCAGAAACACCTCACCAGGTCTCCCCGAACCCAACGACCCCTTTCCAGCTTGCTGTCTGCTGGCCTTCCTCAGACTGCTGTGGGGTGCCCAGGCCTAGCTAGGAGGAAACCCAGAAGGTGAAATGTCCCCACCTACTGATCCTGAGTGCTGGATCGGGCCTGCCCCAGTTCTGGTGTTCCCCCCGCCCCTATCCACCTCTCCCAGGGAGGGCTTGGGTTCAGATGGATCAGGGATGTCGGGTCAGGGTGGGCTTGCATTAAATTGCCCCACTCTGTGTGGGGGCTCCTAGCCTTGGGAAGAGGTTAAGCTGGCTGCCCCCAGCCCCCTCAGGCGTTGGCCCCGGCATGGCCCAAACTGCTCCATGTAGTTTGGGGCTCCCAGCACGAGCAGGGAGCAAGTGTGTGCATTTTATCTGGAGCTGCAGCTCATGACCCCCTGCCCCCAGCACCAAGAAAGTAAGCCACCGTGCAGGGTCCTGGGAGAGGCAGGAGCATGTATTGTGTTTTCCTGTTGCCCCTTCACCATAGGAGTTGCCGGGAGGGTGAGAGGGCGACTCCCCCACCCAACCCCTGCCCCAAGCTCAGCTCCCTCAAGATGATAGCCCGTAGAAGTGGCACTGGAGGCGGGCTCTCAAAACTCGTCCGTGGTGCTGGGGGCAGGGGGAGGTCCAGTGGATCTCCCTGCGAGCTGGGCCGGTCCCCCCCTCCCATCCCCCCACCCCCGAGTCCTGGCAAGTGGTGCTGGGCAGGAGGCTCACGTGGGCCTGCCCTGGAAGGAGAGGGCGATCCTCAGGAGCTCCTGGCCCAGCGCCTGCTGCCGCCCTCCGGGGCGGAACTCGGCCGACAGCTCCCTGAAGGTGGTGCAGACGCGGCGCGCCGTGATGTGTCGCCGGTGGATGGCATGCTGCCACTGATAGCGCGCTGGGCCAGAGAGCACCAGCAGGGAGCGGCGGGGCAGGGCGACGGCCACCTCCACGTCCTGGCACAGGGCGGACCTGCTGAAGGCGGCCAAGCCATCCACCAGGGGCTCCAGGGCGCCCGGGGGCGCCGGGCAGAGCAGCAGGCTGCCAGGTGCCTCGTAGGTCATGGAGAGCACGGTGGGGGAGAGTAAGTTGAGGCTGACCAGCCGCTCCCCCCACAGCCAGGCATCATCCAGGTGGGGGTCAATGGCCGAGCCCCACTCGGGGCAGTAGTCCAGGTTACACTGCTCCACAGGCCGGAAGTCCTCCAGGCCGGGGTAGAGGGCCATTCTCTGCACCAACTCCAGGCTGCAGCCGGGCAGGCCTCGGAAACCGGCGGCCTTCAGCTTCCGCTTCCGGAAGTTGACTTTGGGGCCATAGTCCTGGAGGGGGAAACAGAACAGAGGTGGGGAGGCGGGAGCCCCTGGGTGGAGGTGCCATGGGAGAGGGCTATCTCAGCCTGGCTTCCCAGGAAGCAGGGCGAGAAACAGAGAGGCTGGCTGGATCCAGGGAGTTTGCTCTGGGATGTGACCCCCACGTGTGGCAGAGGTGGGGCGGTATGGGTAGAGGGGTCAGGAGGGGAGGAAGCCGCTCCCCGGTGGCGGCGAGGAGCTGGTCACCCTGGAGCCCACTGAGGTTCCAGACCATGAGGGAGAACCGAGCTGGAGACCCCAGCGTTTCGATCACAGTGCACACAGCACCCCAGTGACGCCAGGGAGGCACGCTCCCCGGGGACAAGTCCACTCAGCGCCCGGGGCAGGCAGCACTCACCCCAAGACAGCATGTCGAAGGCTTAGGAAAGCATTGGGAAAAACAGGGTGGCTGTGGGGCCGGGACCTGGGCCCTGCGCTGTGGGGAAGGCCAGCACGGCTGAACTGGTGAATGGACAACTGACCGGCGCTGCAAACCTTTCCCCAACCCACAATCAAACATTCACAACGGCAAACGTCTGCGCGGACGGGTCACAGTGGCCGCCGGAGAGCAGATGTGGCCTAGGGCCCATCAACAGGTGAGTCGATGCACAGTGAAGCGGGGCAGACGAGAGCGTTTCTGGGCTCTGAAGAGGACTGGTTTGTTACCAGGAAAGAGGAGGGAGCCTGGGAGGCGCCACACGGAGTGGAAGAAGTCAGACACAGAGACTGCAGAGACGCCGAGCACTACACACGCAACGTCCGAGCGAGCCAATCTGAGGAGACACGCAGTACATTAGTGGTTGCCTACGGCTTGGGCGAGAGGGGACAGGGTCCCAGGTTCCTCTGCGGGGCGATGGAATGTTCCGGAACTAGACAGCACATTGTGTCAGGATTAAAAATCACAAGCACACACCAAAGGGGGGAGTTCTACAGACTGCGAGCAAGAGAGAGACTATCAGGGAGGAGCCTTGTACAAGGGTCCTCAGAACCTGTGGACTGAGAGAGCCGGGCATCTTGAGAATTTGGCAACGTCTGCATCCTTCCAGGTGACACCTGAGCTGCCCAGGGGTGCTGGGCGAGTTGGCTCCTGTAAGCTCCCGCCTGCCAGGCAGGGGCAGCAGCAGAGAGCCTGCCTCTGTGAGGACGGTGGGAGAGGCGGGTCAGCTTGAACCCCGACCCTGCAGTGCTAGGACAGGCAGGGGAGTGAGGAACAGGGCAGGACCCTGGTGAGCGCAGGAGGCTCTGTTCCAGGGGACAGCTGCCCAGGCTCAGGACGGGCTCTGCAGGCAGACAGACAGACTGGAAGTGAGGACGGGAAGACTCTGGTGTCAGGGCTGAGCTGGGTGGACGACTGGCGGGGTTCTCAGAGCTGGGGCCCACTGTGGGGTCTGGGGGAGGTGAGCCCGCTGGAGGGGCCTGGGCTGAACACAGACGGCGCTCAGAGCTGTAACTCAGCTCACCGAGGGAGGGAGCCTAGAGACGAGGAGGGGTCCAGGGACGTAGCCTGGGGACATGCCACCCGAGGTGGTCAGGAGACGGGGCAGTTGTCCAGAGGGGGTGTTTCCAGAAGGAAGGCGTGACCCACCGCATCGGGGTGCTGCTCAAAGCAACAGGGAGACCCTGAGATGGGACGGGGGCTCGGCTGGGGGTGGGCAGGGCTGTTCTTGAGCAGGTGACGAGGAAGCAGGGAAAGTAGGGCTCAACAACTCCTTCGGGGAACCCTGCTGTGGAGAGGAACAAGCCGAGGCTCTCTATACAGTGGGCCGCGTGAACCTCGCAGGGGGCACTGAGGAGCGGGGTCAGGACCCTGCAGGAGGTCGGGGCAGAGGGCCTCCAGAACACAGAACAGGCCATGGGACATGCGCTGCTCTATGCTCAGTGGCACATGGCCAGCCGCAGAGTGACAAGAGAGTGGCCTGGGAGGTCCAGTGTGACGGTGGAGAGCCTGGGCCAGTTCCACTCGGTGAGCCTCGCTGGGGGCTTGTCATGGGCTCTGTGCTGTGAGCAGGTGCAGGGTGGGCAGGTGGGCTTCACCAGGGCTGTACTTAAGCAAAGGGCCGGCGGGCGAGGGCATCTGGAGGCCAGTGACCGTGACAGAAAACACTGGGCAGGGAAGGTAAGTGGGCAGGGCGGGGTGGGATGGGTAGGCCACGGGTGCTGGCAGGTCGATGGTGGCAGGTACCAAGGAGAGAGTGAGGGAAGAGGGGGAGCTGCCCCTTGGGAGAGGAGGCCCAGGGTCCCCGAGACCAGAGTAGGAGCGAGAACTTGCAAGAGGAGATGTCAGGCTGATGGAGGGAGGCTGGGGGCTGAAGGCATTGGGCAGGGTCTGGGGTGGCATCACCACCCCTAAGCCAGCCAAGCAGTGGGGCAGAAAGCAGGGAGCGGGGCCATGCTGCCTTTGCGCACGGCCCCCACTTTGTCTCGCTGTGCCCACTAATGACCCTGGGGGATCTGGGGGTGGGGGGACCCCGAGTGGGCTGGTCAGAGAGATGGCAAAAGGTGGACGCAAAGGGTCTTTGAGAAGAGGAGGCGTCTACAGAGACTCGGGCCAGCCCACCTGCTTCCTCCGTCCCGACTGCGACAGCTTCCAGGGGTCACGGTCCATCAGACGCACCAACTCGGCCTCTTCTTCCGGGGTCACGAAGTCTTCTATCAGCATGACTCCGGGGAAGGGGAAGGCCCAGCATTCGAAGTCGGACTCCTCGGCGCCCAGCGCCCAGCCGGTCAGGGGACAGTAAATGAAGCGGTCGGGGTTCTGCCAAGGAAAGACAGGGGGGGGCTGGAGCCACCAATGCCCACTGAAGCTTCCCTGTTGGGAGCAGCCCCTGCCTGCGGCCTCCCCACAGTGGAGGTTCCTCCCAGGGACTAGTCTTCTCTACCCTTAGGGACTCCTGCCTCTGCTCGCCAACCGTCTGCAGAGCGAGGGAGCCCGGGCCTGGGAGTCACCCTGGAAGGCAGCTGGAGTTTGCAGGCCCACCCTAGAGACACAAGGCTGGGGTTTCTCTTCAAAACTGAGCACTGTGAAGAGTCAACAGCAGCTACGGCAGTCAGGACCCGCCGCAGGCTCCAAGCCAACGCCAAGTTCATCACGCGCAGCCCCAACAATGCTGAGGCCAGACCTGGCCTTTCCTGCCCTATGCAGCCGGCCTCTGACGGCAGTGTGCCCAGGGCTCCCGGTGGGGGGACTTGCATGACGGTGCCACAGCTAAGAGCCCTGGTGGTACAGTTAAATATTGCGCTGCTAACCGCAAGGCCAGTGGTTCTAACCCACCAGCCCGCTCTAAGGGAGAAAGACGAGGCTGTCTGTTCCCGTCAAGATTTGCAGTCCCAGAAACCCTAGGGAGGCCGGTTCCCCTTGGCTTTTTAGGGTCTGAGTCTGAAAGGCTCCATGGTAGTGGGCTTGGTTTGGCTTCAGGTGCCAGTCTACACGAGGGTTAGTCCTCTCTGCCCCGTTAATTCGGCTTCCTCCCCATTCTTGATTCATGAAAAGATGACCGCTGGCCCCTTAAGTCTCTTCCCCATCCTAGCCTCGCCTCAGCATCTGCTTCTAGCAACACCCGAATGGACCAGTCACTGGCTTCTCCTCCCACGTCTGTGCACACCCAAACTCTCCAGGGTCTAGATGCCTCCACCCCAGTTTCTCACGGGCTGGCCAGGTCTGTCACCTCTGGAAGGGGCCAGTGGAGAGCCCCTCTCTCCCAAGAAGCCGTTCCCTGGGGTCTCGCCCTCCCCAGCAGGAGTAAATGCCCAGGGGACCCAGGATCATGCCCCACTCACCCCAGCCAGTAGACCCAAGGGCTGAGCAGCAGGCCTTACTGCTTCAGCTCAGGGCTCCTTCCCCACACACCCCGCCCCTCCTTGACTGCTCCGCCTCACTCCTTGCTCTTCCTCTGTTCAAATCCAGTAGCTTCCCAGTACAACAGCTCCTCATCGCTGCCACTCACGGCCCGCCTTCCACCTCCCCGTCTTCGCCCCAAAGTCAGGCCGGCAACATACCCATCATCCCTGCCCTGTCTCCTTCCCAGCCCCAACCAACCCCTCCTTCCTGCCTACTTCCCCCACTCACAGCGGACCCACCATCCTCACCTCCAGACATGTCTCTAGCATCTCCTCTCAGGGCTCCCTGCCCTCAGTCTCTCACATCGTCAGCCCAGACCAGGCACCACACTGCCACCGACTGCCTCCGTAAAGTCTTTTGTAAGCCCTTAGCTTCTAGTATACTTATCTCTTCCGATTTGCTTAACTACAGCCTAGGGAATGTTTACTGGATCCTGTGCAGGATCGTGTTGAATCCAGGGGACACCAGGAGGTAGGGCCCGGATGGCCCTCCATTTGGGGCTCCAGCCAGAGCTCTCCCAGCCCACCCTGTGGAGCCCATCAGAGCCCTGCCCTGGCTCCCTGTGGCCTGGCTTCTCTTCCCGGACTAAGCCCGAGGGGGATGGGGGGGCATGACTTCAGCTCAGATACCTTTGGAAATCTGGTCTGTTAGCTATTATCTCCTGGGCCACTCACGCTGGGCAGCTTGCTCTCCTCCTTCCCACCATCCCAGTTGGCATCCCAGTGGCCCAAGCATCCAGGGTTTCTGGCCTGATTGGTTTCGGGGGCCCAGCTTGTCTACCTTGAACCTGCTTTCCAGCCAATCTGCTTTCTAGAATTTACCTCTGATTCTTAGGGAGCTCTCCAAGGCTCTGAAAACATGGCTGGCTTGCTCCACGGACACACGGGGTGGGGGTCTTCCTTGGGCAGACCCCATGGCCTTCTCCAGCCTGAGTAGCGCCCCATGTTCCGACCACGCGCACTTGCCCCAGGCTCCAGCCGACGCAACTCTCCCCGGCCCTGATGGTGCTCCAACCAGCTAAAATACTCGCTGGCCCAGCCCCAGGGTCTGGGCTCATTTTCACTAGCTCCAGGAATAGCCTCCCTGCCTGTGTCTGCCCGCCAACTGGGGATCCCTTTGCCCCGGCCTTCCACATTCTCGGTGGTCTCCCCGGAGGCTCAGCACCAAGAAAGACAAGGAGGGGCGCTGGCTGACTCCCCCAGGTCCGGGCGTGGGCTGGAGACCTGATGACACCCGGCGGGGACGACCTCCTCAGAGCCCTCCAGCCCTCCTGCAACAACCCAGGGCTCCTGACACTTTGCTTGCGGCCAGTCTCCGGGTCAACCGGGCCTCAGTTTCCCCCCCTTGTAGAATGGGGCTTATGGGCGCGGTCCCTCCGCCAGCTCTTACTTGCGGAGGGAGCTGCCAGGGCGGGTCACCACCGCGCTGCCGCTCGCAGATCAGGCAGGTTCGGATGCCCTTGCAACCGCATTCCTGAAGGACCTCGGGCACCTCCGCCACCGCCGCCGCCGCCATAACCCTACCCGGGCAGCCAGGACGCAGGCGCGGAGGCCGCGAGGGCTGCCGGGAGTTGTAGTCCGCGCGGGAGGCCAGCCGTCCACTTCCTTCCGGTCGTCGCAGCCGACGGGCGCGCCGGGAGGCGCGTAGTGGGCTCGGCTGCCCGCGGGCGCAGTAGCGGGCTCCGCGAGCGCCGAGGCTGTTGTTGGCCCGTTGGGCCCGCCTGCTCGCCATGGCGCCCCTCTCGTCTCAGCTGCTGATTCAGCGGGGCCGCCCCAAGAGCGACCGGCTTGGGAGGATCCGGAGCCTGGAGTAAGTAGGGCCGGGTCGGGGCCGAGGCTGTGTCCGGGGGCCCGGGACCGCACCGCCGCCACCAGGGCTGTTCGGGCCGGGGTCGCCAGGAAAGGATGCCGTCGCCCCGCGCCTTCCTCTGGGGGTTGCCGGGTGCGCGTGCCCTCGGAGCCCCGAGTGCCTGGGCGGCTGGGGAGAACTGGAAGTGCTGGGAGTTTGTGGGGAGCTCGGGAGGGTCGCGTAGAGCACCGTGGAGGGAGCCTTGTTTGGCCGAGCCCTCGGCGGGAGGAGCCCCGGGGCGGGCCGGAATGCGGTTGGATGGCTTAACCGCTAGGTCAGTGGTTTGAACCCACTCGCTTTTCCGTGGGACGGGGGCGGCGAGATGAGGCTTTCTGGCCCTTTAAAGTGTTAACAGTCTCGCTCGGTGAGTCGGAATCGGCTCGATGACCGAGTCTGGCTTTTTGGTTAGGTGGGGAGAAGGCCTGTCCACCCTGCCTTGTCCCTTGAGCCTTCCACGACCCTCTTCCTCCTCTTCTTCCCCAGCCTGTCAGGGCTGCAGCTGCGCCCCGAGCACCTGGACCCCAAGCTCCTGTGCCGCCTCACATTGCTGCAGGAGCTGGACCTGTCCGACAACCAGCTGGACACGCTGCCCGCCAGCCTGGGCCTGCCCCACCTGCGCACCCTCCACTGCGCCAACAACCAGCTGGGGGATGTCACAATCTTGGGCCAGTTCCCCCTGCTTGAGGAGCTCAGCCTGGAGGGAAACCCCTTCCTGACAGTGCGTGGCCCCAGTCAGGCCGGGACTCTGTTGGGCTCAGATGGGCAGCCCTGGGGCCAGGAGTTGGGGGGGGCCTCCTCTGAGCCCCTGCCCACTCTGTTGTCCCCCAGGTCAGCGACCACCTGAAGATCTCCTTCCTGCTGCCCAAGCTCCGGAAGGTGAATGGCAAGGAGGTGTCCTCAACCTCCCAGTTGGAGAGCCTGAGCAGGGAGCTAGCCAGCCGGGTAAGGCAGCAAGAGCCCTGGAGGAGGGCAGGACCCTGACCCACAGGGGCCCTGAGGGCCTGCAGCTAACAATGTTGTGCTAAGCGCCCCTGTGAAGGTGGTCACAAGAGACTGTCCTCTGAGGTGGCAGGACAAGCTGAGTGATGCTGCCCCTTCTGCCAGGCTTGACTCGGGTGCAGTCCTGGATCCTAGGGTCCTTCCTGGGAGCCCAGGCGCCTCCAGGCTGTGCCACCTGCTGATCAGAGAGGCTTCCAGAGGTGGTGTTGAGCTGGAGACACTTGTCTGGGGCTGGTGTTGCTACCCTGTTTGCCGGGGCACCCAGGGAGGCAGCTGTGGACTGCACTTGCATCTGGGCCCTCTTGTCCCAGGTCAGCGCTTACTGGGAGAAGTTCGTGGCCACCCTGAGCCCAGAGGAGGAGCCCGAGAAGGCCAGGGCGGAGTTTGTGAGGTCGGCCATCCGGGAGGTGCGCTACGGACCGGAGTCCCTCAGCGAGTTCACACAGTGGCGGGTCAGTCCTCACCCCGAGGGGTTGACCCTCCCAGTGACTTGCTGAGCCCTGGGAAGGTCTGGTTGGTGAGGGGCCGGGTTCTGGGGAGGCACACAGAGCTAGGCCCAGCTTGCAGGTTGCCCGGCCCCACCCAGGTGCGGATGATCTCTGAGGAGCTGGTGACCTCCCGTGGGATCCCGGTGCCCAAGGCAGACAGCCCCAAGAGGCCTGTGGGAACCAGAGCTGCCCAGGAAACCAAGGTGAGTCTGGTCTGGCTCCCACCCCCTGGTGCTCCAAGGCCAGCCACCTCCCTCCACCCTGCCTGCCAAGTGATGGGAGGGAGGGTGGGGTCCAGCCCTGGGCAGACAGGCCCCCCGACGCAAGGCCCTTACCCTGCCCCTATCACCTCCACAGGCCAGACTGGGATCCTCGAAACGACAGGACAGTGCCCCCCTCAGCAGTCCCTGTCCCACCAAGCGTGCCCGCACCTCCCCGTTGGCTGAGATGGAGAGCAACCCCAGGGGCACTGGTGACAAGCAGGTAACCTGGCAGGCCAGCAGGGAGCGGGGGTGCAGGGTGCCAGGCCTGGGCTGGCTGTGACCCCTGTACCCCCCCCCCCCAAGCCTGCCGTGAAGCTGGAGCCCCTGCATTTCCTGCAGTGCCACAGCAGGAACAACAGCCCCCGGGACCTGGAGACCCAGCTGTGGGCCTGTGCCTTCGAGCCGGCCTGGGACGAGGGTGTGTGCTCCAGGAAGGGGGGTGGGGAATGGGACAGGCAGGCCTTCTGGAGAGCCAGTTGCAGGCTGGGCCTGGAGGGGGGTGCCTGAGGGGGAAGGGCTAATGAGCCGTGTCACTCGGCTGACCGCCTCCCACCAGGGACCTCCAGGGACACGTCCCAGACCGTGGCAACTTGTGGTGGGGAGGCTGTGTGCGTGATCGACTGCCAGACAGGCATTGTGCTCCACAAGTACAAGGTGCCGGGCGAGGTGAGCCCTCCCCCCTCCCGGCCACCCCCCTCCCCCACCACCATCACTGCCTCGGTGACACCCCCCCGCCCCCTGCCACAGGAGTTCTTCTCAGTGGCCTGGACAGCCCTGACGGCCGTCACACAGTTGGGCCACAAGAAGCGCTGGAACGTGCTGGCTGCAGCAGGCCTGCGGGGCCTGGTGCGGCTGCTAGACGTGCGAGCCGGCTTCTGCTGCGGGGTCATCCGGGCCCACAAGAAGGCCATCGCCACCCTCTGCTTCAGCCCCACCCACGAGACCCACCTCTTCAGTAAGGGCTCTCCCTGGGTCCCCTGTGGTGGTCCCCGAGCCCCCTGACTTGTCAACAGGCTGGGGTGGGCGGGCAGTGTCCGGCTCCAGCCTTGTAGGAAGTGACTTGGCCTTCACGGCCAGTCCCTGGGCTCCAACCCCCAGCCTGTTCTGCCACCTCAGTGATGGCCCGAGTCTGCTGGGGTGGGGGGGGCAACCCCCCTGGCCCTGCAGGGTGTGAGCGGAGGCCCGGCCAGAAATGGCAGCGTGGGGCCGGCCTGTTCTCAGGGTGGCTAGAAGGTGGGACTGGGGGTCTTAAGTCTGGTGTCAGGCGGGGTTCCTGCTTTGATGTTTGGCCTCAGACAAGCTCTGGCCTTGGGCTGCAGCCTCATTCCCGCCCTCACGCCCTCCTCAGCAGCCTCCTATGACAAGCGGATCATCTTGTGGGACATCGGGATACCCACTGATGATTTCGAGTTCCAGGCCAGGTGACGTGCTGGGTTGGGGGCTGAAGGGTGGTGCTGCCAGCGTCGGGGGACAGAGGGCTCATGGGCTCCTGCTGCCCCTCATCCTCCCCTGCAGCCAGCTGCTGACACTGGACAGCACCTCCATCCCGCTGCGGCTCTGCCCGGTGGCCTCCTGCCCTGATACCTACCTGCTGGCCGGCTGTGAGGGAGGCTGCTGCTGTTGGGACGTGCAGCTGGAACGGCCTCAGAAGAGGAGGTGAGGCGGGCAGGGGGGCCGAGGTGGGAGCCCCGCCCCCGAGCCGGGCACTGCCACACAGAATGGCTCTGCCACAGGGGGGTGCTCCAGCTGCCAGCCCCCCCGGGACTGTGTGCTTGCATCTGGCAGAAAGCAGTCCCTCATCTGGGCCAGCAGCAGGGGGCGGGCTGGCCAGGCCTCTCTGAGCTGATTGCGACACCAGGAGGAAGTGGGCTTCCCACAGCTGTGACGGGGTTGTGCGACTCGCCCTGTGCCAGCTTCAAGGGCAGCAAGTGTGAGGGGGACCTGTCAGGTTGAGGCCCCCGGGCCCTGATGCAGTCCTTGGCATGGAGCCTCTGCCTGTGTGGGGCACCAGCCTAGTCCAGTTGCCTAGCAAAGTCTGCTGCCCACAGGGCCTGCGAGGTGGAATTCACCTTCCCAGAGGGCTCGGAAGCTTCTGGACGGAGAGTGGATGGACTGGCCTTTGTGAACGAGGATGTTGTGGGTGAGTGAGCCAGGCCTCTGCACCCTACGGGGCCAGGGAGGCCCCAGAGGGAAGCAGGCTGGGGCTGGCCCTGGCTCAGCGCTCGGCTCTCCCCACAGCCTCCAAGGGGAGCTGCCTGGGCACCATCTGCTTGTGGAGCTGGAGTCAGACGTGGGCAGGCCGGGGCCGCCAGGCATCCGTGCCAGTGGTTGTCCTGGCTCGGCTGCAGTGGTCATCCACTGAGCTGGCTTATTTCTCTCTCAGCACCTGTCCTGGTAAGCCCCTGAGCCCTGCCCTGCTGCCTTCCTCTGGGCATCAACTTGTGTGTCCCGGTAATCCCCTAGACCCCTTTTGGCCTTGCCTTTCCCTGGGCATCAGCCTCTATGTCCCGGCAGGTGAGGGAATCGTGCTCTGTGGGGACGAGGAGGGCAATGTGTGGATCTATGATGTCCAGCAACTCCTAAGCCAGCGGCCCCCACAGCAGGCAGCCCCGCAGGCCCCCACACAGGTACCTTATGTCCAGCTCGAAGTCCCCCTCCCCCCACGTGTCAGGCAGCCTGGCCTCAGGGCAACAGAAGCTAAGCCCCTTCCTGTTGCCTCCCTCCAGATCCTCAAGTGGCCTCAGCCCTGGGCCCTCGAGCAGATGGTGACCAAGACCATGGTGAACACAGTGGTGGCCAGCCCCTCCCTCACCTACCTCACGGCACTGACGGATTCCAACATCGTTGCCATCTGGAAACGGCAGTAGTGCTGGCAGTGCAGCCTCAGCTCTGCCCCTGGCCTGGGGACAGAGGTCTTGTTTTTAATGAGTGTTTTTTATTAAAAGTTCTATCAACAGATGGTGGCATAGTGGTTACTCATTGGGTTGTGGTTCGAGTGGTCTGCAGTTCAAAACCACCAGCCACTCCACAGGAGAAAGGACTTTCTACTCCCATAAAGCTAGTCTTGGAAACTCACTCACCGGAGTCGCTGAGTGGGTGTTGGTCCGGTGGCAGTGAGTGAGATGAAAGGGAGCGAGAGTGCGGTGGTTGACTGTTCTTGCTGCCGCCACCCCCACCCCCCACCCCCGCCATATGTCTACAGGCCCCCTGCTGCCCCATCGTGGTAGCCCCCCAGGGTCTGGTCCAGAATGAGTTTATCTCTGCCAGCTTCTCAAGACAGAAGTCCAGCTTTGTGCTTGCCTCATCCCCCACCCCCACCCTCACCCCCTCCCAGTCTTTGAAATGTAGCCCTCAGAGACTGGAGCAGGTCCCAAATGCCCCAGACCCTTTGCTTCCCTGGGAGAGGGAATACCCAGCACACCCAGGTGTCTGCCAGATTTATTAGGGTTAAAAGAGCCTATGTACAGGGGACATGTGTGTCGGGAGGGGCTCCTGGGGTAGCTTCACGAGGATACAAAGGTGTCCTCTCTGCTGGGAACCCCGAGAGAAGAGAGAAGTGCCGGGGGGTGCGGCCCACAGCTTCCTTCAGACCACTACTCGATCCCTTCCTGCTTGTCTTTGATGGCCACCTGCAGGGGGAGGGATGGAAAAAGCCAGCACGCTTAGCTGAATGGCTGGAGGTGCGCTTAGCTGAATGGCTGGAGGTGCGGAGACCTGGGAAATGAAAGCCTAGTCCCCTGGTCGGCCCCTGAGGAGCGCAGCCAGGCACCAAACCCACCCGCCCTTGGGGCTGGTCCCATCATCCAATCAGCTGCCTGCCGTGGAGTCCAGTGAAGCAGCTTCTCGAGCCAGCTTTTCCCGGGGCCTGGAGGAAGAGTTGACTAGCCAGGGCCCTTGCCCCCTAAAAGCTGAGCCTGCACAGATGCCCCTGCCACGGGCCTCCTGAACTTTGGGACAAAGGACCTGGGATAAGCTCCTGCCAGCGACCAATACTCTGTAAACAGTGGACCTGACCACTCCTTGAAGCGACCTGGAAGGTGGTCCCTGGGGCATCAGGAGGACTTGAGTGAGCACGTGTGTGCATCCCCACTTAGGGGCGCCCTCAGATCAGTCCAAGCTTCCTAGTGGCTACTGTCAGCGGTCCTGGGGCTTCACTGGGAAGCGCTTGTCCCTCACCCGGAAGCGCTCTTCCAACAGGGATAGCTCGCTGATGAGGTCAGTGATGGCATTGGTGAAGGCTTCCTGCGGGCTGTAGTCCGGTGTGGTCTGCACCCGGATGATGATCTTGTGCTCCAGAGGGTGGGGGACTTTGTAGCCAGCAAACAGCACCTGGGGGTCCTTCAACAGCTGGCTGAAACAGGAGGGAGGCTGTGTCTAGTACCCTATAACCTGGGCCAGGAGCTCGCCTGTCAGGCCAGGCCTCTGGGGACTGGCCCTGGAGGTCCCCTGCTCTTGACTTGTCCTAATACCTCTCAGGTGCAACAAGTGCTTGGGACGAAGATATACCATCTGAGTCCCTGCTTCCCCCCACCCCCGTCCCCCTAAGCTGGAATAACAGGGCTTCGAACAACTTTTCCAAGGGGAATTGGGGACCCTGCACTGCCCCTAAAAAGACCCTCCTAATGTGGTAACACCAGTCACACCCCTGACCACCTGGCCAGGACATCACTGCTGTAAACCACTGTCCCCCAACCTCGGTCAGGCTCAACTCTCAGGCTCCCCTCCCTTCCTGCAGAAGGCCACGTGGCTGGCTGTCCCTGGAGGCATCGTCACAAATGGAGGGTGTGGGCACCTAACCTCAACCACTGCTCCTCATTCCCCTGCACACATGGGCAGGTTCCCAGGAAACTGGCTTGTGAACACACACAGGTCCTATTTTCTCAGAGCCCGGAAGAGCGTCCTGCAGAGCTTGCACTTGGCCAGAAAAAACTTACGACTTAATGATGTTTCCCAGCGTGTGGTCTTCTTTGTTGATGGTAAACAAGCAGGCATTGGGAACCTTGGTGTCCTTGTTAATAGTGATCCTAGGGAGAAAGAGCAGTGTGAGGGGCAGCTCTCCCCCTCCTCTCCCCAAGTCCCGCCTCCTGGGAACCTGATGTTTCAGGTGATCACTATTGTAAAAGTCAAGGACTTTGGAGTCCATGCTTGGATAGACACACAGGCTAAACCGATGTGGGAGGGAGAGTGGGGCCCACCATGACTACACACACATCTGCCTGTGTGTTATCTGCGAGCGGCAAAGATACCCATGAAGGGGGTGGAGCATACAGACGGCAAAGCTGTGAGAACTTCTTAGACCAAAAAAGGGGGAAACAAAATGCAAAACCATAAGGGAACCTAGGCGTATTGGTCGGACAGACCACAAGGAAGCTCTGAAACCATGGCCCTTAGTCATCCTGCAGGTCTGCAACTGACCCCCCCCCAATGTTAGAACAAACAACCATTTAATACCCAAAGGGCTGTGCTCATGCAAGGCCAGAGTTGATACAGGAGGGAAGTGCACAGCTCACACAGGGATGGGACGGTGGATCAACTGAAACCACACGTGTCTGAACTATAGAGCAGCGGTGCTCCACCTTCCTCATGCCGAGACCTTTCAGGCAGCTCCTCGTGTGGTGGTGACCCCCCAACCGTAAAACAGTTTTCGTTGCT